GGGGGTATTTATTTCCTACTTAAGGAGCCCTGGTGGCACAGTGGTTAAGCACTTGGTTGCTAACTGAAAAGCTGACGGTTCTAACCCCCTCAGTGGTTCCACAGGAGAAAACCTGCTAATCTTCTCCCACAAAGATCACAGCCTAGGAAGCCCTGTGGGGCAGTTGTGCTCTGTCACACAGCACACTATGAGTTGGCACCCAACAACATTTCCTATTTGTGTGTGCACGCACACACACACACACACATGAACATATCTGGACTCCTTGTTTTTGGTGTTGGGTCCAGTTCTGAAATGCAGTATTTGGTCATTTCACGTCCACATACCTTTGCCTTGTACATGTGTTCTCTGCAGATCTTGTTTTTAATGACAGCTGATGCGTATCATTCTGCCATACGAGTGTCAGGAAGGCATACTGCTTAGGAGTGTGTCTTTGACCCAGCGGCCAGCCTTCACATCCCGTCTCTGTCGCTCACACAGTGGGCAGCACTGGGCCTCTGAGCTCAGTTTCCTCATCTGTGAAACCAGGACATTATAGGAGGATTAAATGAGAGGCTGTGTCATGGCGCTGGGTGCGTCAAGAGACTGCATCGTGGTGCCAGGTGCATGGTGCTGGGTGTGTGACACCACTCTGGGCAGGACCTGCACCGCCCCGACGCATGTCTCCAGCCCCTTGCTGTTGTTGCCCATGGGTGGTTTCTTAGGCTCACGTGGTAAACCTTTACTGGCGCCCGGTCAAGGCGTGGGATCCATGATAAACAAGGCTGTGGTCAGTACCTTCACGTAGTTCTGTGGCCGGTTTCTTAGGCGAGCATTTGGGAAGCCGTCTCCACTTCCACAGCCATGTTGGCTAAGCGCGGCCCATGAGGGGCTCTGTGATGGGCGGTCCCTGTTCCCTGGGCTCCCGGGCAGCTCCCAGCCCAGAAAGACCAAGGCTCTAGGAGCGGCACCCTCTCCTTCCTCAGATCCCAACCTCAGTGCCTTGGAGCAGCGCTGCAGGCAGCAGGGGCTGGAGGGGAAGGGGGCCCCGGCCTGCGGGACTCGTGTGCTCAGGTCACTTCCCACGTGCCTGCGAGTGAAACAGCAGCTCCCCAACCCCCTGGGGTGCGGGAGAAGCGCCTGCAGTCTCCTGGAACCCCCATAGCCCCTTCGGTCTCCTGGTGTGACTTTCCCTGCTTTCTCCTCAGCTGAGGTGGCCTCTCCCCTCCCAACCGCCCGTTGGGGCACCACTGGGCCCGCTTCTTCCCTCCTTTGAAGTAGGAGTCTCAGAGGCAAACAGGATGCTCCGCTCCCACGCGAGGGCTCAGACAAGACGCCGCATCCTGCTCAGGTGGGGGGTCCCGTGGGCTGTGGGGCCGGGTGTGGGAGGAGCACTGGGGAGGCGGGTTCCATGAGGCGTACCTGGGGCATCCAGCCCAGACTTTGAATGAGGTGGCCATCTGGAAGTTTCCTTGGGGGCTCTCGTGCCTGGAAGGGCTGAGTGATGCAGGTGGTGAAGGAAAGGGACGCTGGCTAGGTGCATTTGGGGGAGGCCCCCGTGGCAGTTGTTGTTAGGGTTAGGTGCCCTGGAGTCATCTCCCACTCGTAGGGGCTTCTCCCGCACCCTAGGGGGTTGGGGAGCTGCTGTTTCACCTGCCGCACATGTGAAGTGACCTGAGCACACGAGTCCCGCAGGCCGGGGCTTCCTTCCTCTCAAGCCCCTGCTGCCTGCAGTGCAGCTCCGAGACACTGAGATTGGGATCTGAGGAAGAAGAGGGTGCCGCTCCTAGAGCCTTGGTCTTTCTGGGCTGGGAGCTGCCTGGGAGCCCAGGGAACAGGGTCCGCCCATCACAGAACCCCTCAAGGGCAGCGTGTAGCCAACACCGCTACGACAGTGGCATTCCTCACCTCACTTGCTCTTGGCTATGATTTTTGTACTTTTTGTCATAATGGTTTCTCCAGACCTTAGCAAATCCAACCTAGGGTGACAGGGTGGGTACAAAACAGATAACCAGTGTGTGGGTCTCCTTAGCTGCTGTGGAGTTGGCTTCCGGTGCACAGTTACCCCATCACAACGCCACGGAACGCCACCCGGTCCTGCGCCCTCCCCGTGGCCCGCTGTGGGTCAGACTCCTGTGATCCGTGGGGCTAATCTTCAGAAGTGGATCACCAGGCCTCTCCTTCTAGTCCGTTTCAGTCTAGAAGCTGTGCCGAAACCTGTTCGTTGTCATAGCAACACACACATGTCCACTGGCAGATGGCTAGCTGTGTGTGGGGTGCACTGGCCGGCAGTCAGACCCTGGTCTCCCCACGGGGAGGCTAGAATTCCAGCACGGACCTTTCCCAGCCTCTAGGTAACCAGGATGCTGTCCTTGTGCCATCAAGCCCACTCCGACTCAGTGACCCTATAGGACAGAGTAGATGTGCCTCATAGGGTTTTCCAGGCTGTGATCCTCTAGGGAGCAGAGTGACGAGTCCCTTTTCCTGCGGAGGCACTGATGGGTTTGTCCCTCCGACAATGGAACATGAAACTGATGGGTTTGCTAACCTGTTGGTTAGCAGCTCAGCGCTTAAGCACTACACCAGCAGGGCTCCTTGAAGAAGGCAGAAGTCCTGTTCTCCCCTGGACTGTGGACTCGGCTTTTAGCAGAATGACCCAAGCATCCTCTTGTGGCTAAAGCGGTCTTGGAAAATGGAAGCTCTAAAGATGTCACTTCTGCCCTGAAGTGCCCACCCATCCCCCAAGCAGATGTCTGAGTCCTTAGCATCCATCAGACATTTAATTTACAAAATAGTTTGTGTGTGGGGGGAGAGGGCGGGGTCTCAAGACGTCAGGGTTTTAGCATCCATGTGATAACCCGGCTTGGCAGCGCACAGTGTTCTAGGCACCTCAGAACTTTCCGCTTTGCTGAGTCTGTGTTAGTGTGGTGATTGGCTTAAAGGTGATTTGGGGCCCAGCATGCACAATGTGAATTCTTAGCCCCCCACAATAGTCTGCACAACACCCTAAAAGTTAAGAGGAAAAAAGAGAGAGAGGGGGAGAAGGGAGAAGTGGTCAGTGGTTTCTCAGAAGAGCTTGTGCCCGTGTCTGAGTTATTGAGTGAGGCTGTAATAGACATACCACAGGTGGGTGGCTTCTACAAACACATTATTTTCTCACAGTTTAGAAGGCTGAAAGTCCGAATCCAGGGCGCCAGCTCCAGGCTTTCTCTCGCTGTCCACTCTGGGGGAAAGTCTTGTTTCTTCAGCTCCTGTCCTGGTTCCGTGGAGACCTCCATTGGTTTGGCATCACCCCCCATCTGTGCTCTGCTCGTTTGTTTCATCTCTTAGATCTCAAAAGAGATTGACCCAAGATACACCCTATACTAATCCTGTTCATTAACACAACAAAGACAACTCATTCCCACATGGGACTGTAAGCACAGGCTTAGAGGATCCACAGCACTTATTTGTGGGGACACAGTTCAATCCCTGACTCCTTGGCAGCAAGCAAGTTCCTTCCCTTTTTGCATCTCCCTTCCCTGCCCCTTTTGTAGGGTTGCTGAGTCAGAATCAACTTGACTGGCAACTGGTTTAGTTTTTGGTTCGGTCTGTGGGACGAAGGGGCAGGATGGATGGCTTAGCAATGGGGGGCGGGTGCAGGGAGCGTGGCTGGAGGGTTAGGGAGAGTGGAGAGGAACCAGAGGAGTCTGCTGTGTCTGGGGACAGCCCGTGGAGGACTGGCGGTGTCAGAGGTGACAGCCCAGGGATGTGGTCAGGTTAGGCTAGGTCAGGGTCTCCTCGCTCCCTGTGTTAGAACCGTGCTCCTCAGCCCGTCTGATTACGCAGCTGTTTGCAGTCTGCAGCTGACTGGAGGCTGTTCCCAAGGCCCCATGGGAGCCGGTGCTAGAATTCTCACCTGGCAGGCAGGAGACCCGCTTCCCTTCCTGGCCAGTGTGGCACCTGTGGGGCCTCCAGCTGTCTGTCAGTGGAGGCTTGCAGGCAGCTAGGATGTAGAACAGGCTTCAGCGGAGCTTCAGACGAAGAGACCAGGAGGAAAGGCCTGAAGCCTGCTTCTGAAAATTGGCCAGGGAAAAGCCTGTGATCACGAATCGATTGCTCTGGTTCCACTGTGCACGGGGTCCCCACAATGTCAGGTTACCCAGAAAGCAGCATGGCCTTACTAAACTGTACTGAACAAGTTCACATGTTCTCACCACATCAAAGATGCTGCTTTTAGGCATGGCTGGCATCTGTCTCTCTTCCAATGCCACAGCACTTTCCTGCAGAATCAAAGCCTCTTTTCAAATGTACAACCCCTGACAGGGCTGGAGTGCCCAGAAAGCAAGGCAAACACAGCCTTACTCGTGCTTACTTACTTACTGATCTGCAGTAAACAATTTTACATGGGTTTCACCACACTGTTAACGTGATTAAAACATGTGAAACTGCTTATTGGGTACCATGCCCCTCTGTCCCAGGAGTTGGGGCCCAGCCCCACAGCAGGAAATGACCATAAAACCCTCCCCCCTCCAAACTGAGTAAGTCCCACATTGTTTCTTGGCATAATAGCAGTTTGTCTCTGGTCTCGGATGCCATCCTTCCTGGGGGGCTTGACCTTGGCAGGTGGTGTGGCAGTGACTTATGACACCACAGTGTCAGTGATTGGTAGCCGTCCTCCTCTGCATCTCAGGCTCTTGGAGAAGTACGTCCCTGTGTCACCTATAGGAATAAAGTGGACACTGCTTGGCGTCTGATACAGGGCATGAGCCGGTGCTGTGTGAATCTGTACTTCAGTGGAAACTAAAGATGTGTCTGCCCCTGGCTCTAAGCTGGGTATTCCACGAGCCTATCTCAGATTGATGAGAGACATCCCGGGAATCCGCTCTGCCTGCCACGTGATTTCCTGGCACTTGCTTTCTGTGTGTCCTGTGTGGGGCTGTACTCTCTGGCTCATGCTAAGTATTTAATACGCACTTGATAGGATGATTTGTGACCTGGGTTAGTCTCAGCTTTCCAACTCGTTTTCTTTTCCTCCTCAGATCTTCAATCTTATGAAGTATGACAGCTACAGCCGCTTCTTAAAGTCTGACTTCTTCTTAAAACACAAGCGGACCGAGGAAGAGGAGGAAGACCCGCCCGATGCCCAAACTGCGGCTAAAAGAGCTTCAAGAATTTACAACACATGAGCCCCTGGAAGGCCAGAGCCGCCGCTTGAAGGAGCAGAGGGACTCCCTGTCGGGCCCAGCTGGGCTGATAGTTGCTTTGTTTGCGAGGACTGAAGCGTGCACCACCCTTCCACGGGATCTCTGTATTTTATTAACTGCTTGACCAGTAAGTTTTGCATGATGGCTAATCTTCCATAAAAAAAACAAATAGTTCTGAGGCTTCAGTTCACACGCAGACACAAAGGGGGCAGAAAGGTTCCTTCACTGAACACCCAGCATCTTGTAGCTTTGATTAAACTTGGTGTGAGGCCACAGGTGAAACATGGAAGCACTTTACTTTTTAAGTCTCTGCCTGGGGGTCAGGGTCAGGCCAGCCTCACAATCACTCTGCAGATCCACTCCAGATTGAGCGGCCGGGATGGACTCAGGCCGCTGGGGACACTGCCGTCAAGCGCTGTTTGGGTTCTATACGTCTTGACAGCAAGTTCAGTGCTGGAGAAAAGACAATCACTAACAGCCTCTGAAGACTGGGGGGAGCTGTGTGTGAGTGTAATCACCCGGTAATTGTTATTCCTTGTGCCTGGCTTAGTCCTGGTTTGACTCACAATCCGTGACATTTCATGCAACACAGATAGTTGATCTTTACAGAAACAAGACAGCAACCGGGAAGAAAAGATGACATGGGAAATTGTTTAGGGTCCCCATGGCAATGCAATGGGGTGTTGAATGGGAGGGTAGCTCCAGGGGGGCTCTAGAGATGGAGTTGGTGGGCTGCTGGTCCCCTTCTCCCTTAGCCCACTTCTTCTCGATTCCTACCCTTTGCAACACTGGTTGACTTCAAGCTTGAGGTTTCAGCCAGGGGAGGAAACGCTGTTTGAGAGTCTGCTGTCTCGGTGGGGGCTGTGAAAGCAGCCTTGTGCACACCCCCCCACACACCCAATAACTCTTTAGAGTGGACCCCAGGGCCAGCACCAGCCTCGGCAGCTTCTGCTAGGAGTCGGGCCATTGCAGCATGGGCTGCTGATGCAGGACCACCCCAGCCTGTTCACAGAGCTTAAACTTCTGTTTTCACAAAGCAACCAACCTCATTCCATTTCTTCCAACCCAGCCTTTCCCATTTGAAGAAACGTAAGATGTCGAGGTGACCTCAGTTATCCATCAAAGCAGGATACTTTTCAGACAGACAGGGCATGAGTTACTGACACTGGGACGGAATGTAGGTGCTGGCTCGGTTCTGGGCTAACCGGCTCGTAGTCACAGCTGATCACTCCCGGTACGGCCTCTTGTGCCGTCCCCCAGAGCTCCAGCCCCACCCATTCACTTTCCCCACCTCCTCCCATCTTGGGGCTGGGGAAGGTCGGCCTTTGGGGAACCATTCACTGCTGAGAATCGAGTCACCCAGCAGGGCACTCATCAGAAACAGGAAATGCCACGCACACATACACACCCCCGCCAATAGGGGATCCCCACCCTCCCCCAGCTCCTCCCCCGCAGGCCTCCTGAGTCTCCTGTCCCCTCGTCAGAACCTGGGCGTAAGAGAGAGATGCTGAGAATGACGCCCAGGTGCCCTGCCGCCCAAGAACTCCCACTTGCAGCCAGGAAGGTGGGTGCATCTGAGCACGTCGGTGCGCCACGGCTGCTCCAGCTCCACTTCTGGGGTGCCGACCGGAAAGGTGCAGGGATGGGGTTCCACCCACTGCAGGCAGGGTGATGGAGGGGTCCCATGGATTAGTCCTGCCCTGGAGAGCTGAGCTGGGCAGGCTCCCCAGCCTGAGGTGGGCGAGGGGGCCCTTCTTCCTTTCTCCCTTTCACACCAGGCTCAGAGGCCCTCTGGGGTGTTGTTCTTCTTATAAAGGAAACGGCCAGTTAGTGAGATTGTCTACAGAAAGCCTTTTCCTTAAGAGTTGCCTGCAAACACTGGTGGGTGGGTCGCCGAGCTGCACGAGTTTAACCACGACTGCCTTTTACCAGCGTGAGCTCACGCCACTTCCTCCCGCTCGCCCCTGCCTGGCTGCCTGCAGCCACTGCTTGCCGAACTGAGGCGTGTACATAACCCAGTCACTTGAGTCAATCACAAAAGTGTGTCTGAAGTGGAGGGAAATCCATTTGGCCAGATAGAAGCTCCAGCCAGCCTTTTACTCTCATCCCTGTGTCAGTCCATCTACTCGTTGATTAAATTATCATATTCTAGTCACTGGGTAGGAGCTCTGGTAGCGTACTGCCTAAGGCACTTGACTGCTAATCAGAAGGCTGGCGGTTCAAACCCACAAGCCACTCCTCGGAAGGAAGATGGGGCAATCTACTTCCGTAGTGATACTGCCTCAGAAACCTAAGGAGGGGTCGCTATGAGTCAGGTCCGACCTGACAACACATAACAACAACAACAACATACCATAGGAGCTCTGGTGGTGTAGTGCCTAAGGCATTTGACCACTAACCAGAAGGCTGGCGGTTCAAACCCACCAGCCACTCCTCAGAAGGAAGATTGGACAATCTACTTCCATAGTGATACTGCCTCGGAAACCCAAGGAGGGGTCGCTATGAGTCGGGTCCCTCTCGAGGGCAGTGAGTTGCATCACTAGGTGGTACAAATGGGTAACACACTGGGCTGCTAACCAAAAGATTGGAGGTTTGAGTCCATCCAGAGGCACCTCAGAAGAAAAGCCTGGTGATCTGCTTCCAAAACATCAGCCTTTGAAAGCTGTGCGCAGCACAGGTCTGCGCTGACACACAGTTCGCTCCATGGCAACTGGTTTTACCCTGTGCTAGGCACTGTGTTGATGTGCTGAGATGCACTGTGGGGAATAAAGTAGGCATGATGATCCCCGCTCCAGTGGAACCTCCAGGGGCCTCAAACCCCCGGGCAGCAGGCCATAGGGGCGAGCATTGTGTTAAACTTCCAGTGCAAATGACTGAGGCAGTGCATGTGTGAATTGCCAGTTGGCTGCAGACCTCACCATTCTCTATGGCCTTGGAACAGGCCTCTAACATCTAGGATATCTGCTAGCTCCCCAGTTTGTGCCCTGATCTTTTTTTCCCCGGTGCCAGGAGCACAGCCTGGTGATCTTTTCCTTTGTGACTTTGCGGTCGTTAATTACACCTTTCCATGCCCTATGCTGACCTGCCCAGATTCCTAGTGTCAGTTGTGGCTCATTTCCTCGCCTTGCTCTCTCTTTCCTTTGGATTCCCCCCACTGGATGGCAGGCATCTCACTTGCAAAGCACCTTTTGGAAATGCTTCTCCCTCAAAGCATGAGTAGGAGAGGAGGGATTACTCCCCCTTTAGTGATGGGAGAACCAAAGCGAGTGACAGGCCTGACCCCCGTCTTCTGACCCAGCTCCCTTTCTGTCTATCCTTGGCCTGGACAGGACAGAGAAGCCTAGGCCAGGGGTGGGGTACTGGGCTATGGGTACAAATGTTCATCTTCTCACACAAGAGATGTTAATGAGTGCCTGCCACTTCCCAGGCCAAGCACCAGATGCAGGAACGTGGGGGATGAACAAGGCATGAACCTGCCCTGGGAGCCACTGGTTGAAAGATGAGGGCCCTACCAGTGACCAGCCCTGAGGCAGGGACCCGGGGGACACACTGCCTGGCTGTGCCCATCTCTGAGCACACATCCTGGTTGCTTTGTCCCAAGTATCAGCTGTCTTAGCTATCTGGTGCTGTAACAGAAACACCCCAGGCAGGTGGATTTAACAAACAAATGTATTTTCTTACAGGAGGCTAGAGAATCCAGGGTGCTGGTGCTAGGGGAAGCTTTTCTTGCTGGGCTGTGGGGGGAAGGTCCTTGTCTCTTTTTGGCCACTGTTCCCCAGGTCCCTGGTGACCTGGTGATCATCATGTGGCCTGTGCATCTTCCCTTTGGTGCCTAACCTGTTTGTGTGTGTGTCAAAGGTGGTTGGTTGAAGACACACCTTGCCCTGATATGGTCTCACCAACAAAACTAAGTCCTATTTCCAAATGGGATTACATCCACAGGTATAGGGGATTACGATCTACAACACATAGTTTTTGGTGACACATTTAAGCCATAACTCCAAAGGATGAGTGACCAGGTAAATTGCCCGTTGCATTTGGGGACGAGGACACATGTCCTTTATGTGTTAGAGCCGGGAGCAGATTCACTGGCCCTGCTCTGTATCCGGGAGCATGCTTTGTTCACGCGCTTAGCCAACCACGAGGCCAGCGGCAGCCAAGACTCATGCTGACTTTGGCTACTTTCATTTTGGCTGCGGATGTTCTAGAATTTGCCTTATTTAAGTGTAGTGTTGTTGCACCATCAGCTTCCAGGGTTTCTAGTTGCTTCTCCCCACAAGCTCACTGTGCACAGCAAGTGGGTGCAGGCTAGGGAAGGGAGGAAACACGTGCACAGCCGGGGAGGGGCGGAGTCAGCGGATGGAAATGAACTAGAACCTCAGGCAGAGCCACGGCTCTCCGTGGACTCCCACAGGCATCGAAAGCTTGGCAAGTACAAAGCTGCTCAAGCCACTACCTGGGAGTCTGTCCTTTGCGGGGCATCTGAGTGAGGGCCAGTAGGTTTGCCTTGCGCTGGGGTGCTCAGCTCGAGGGAGGCTCTGCTCACCAGACCTGACTCGGTCTCCCTGCGGAGTGCAGAGGCCTCGTTCCTGACTCCATGTGCACCCACCTGCAATAGCAGAGGCTAGTGAGGGTAACAATCGCCCAGGGACCATCTCTGAGTTTGCACTCCCCACAGCCCAGCCAGCACCGTGGACTTGAGGGTGAGGGGTGAGTGTGTGACGCAATGGTCAGCCTCATGGTGGGGGTGATTCACCAGGGCCTTCATCTGGCACCAACCTTGGACTTGGCTCAGCAGGCAGATGCCTCCCTCGGGCCACCCTCGTTATACCTGTGAGTTCTACAAAATCATTGAGTAGGGAGAACTGGAAGTGGCCTGATCTTCTCTGCCCCACTCCTACTGTTGGCCCAGAATCCCTGGCTGGTGGAGTTAACATGCTCAGGTGCTGACCCAAAGGCAGGAGGCACCTCAGAAATAGGCCTGGCAGTTTACCCTACGGAGCACGGTTCTGCTCCGATGCACACGGGGTCGCCATGAATGGGAGTCCACTCCATGGCAGCTAGTTAACGTTTCCCGCTTGTCAGCCATTGCCAGGCCTGGGTGCCTGTGGACAGTCTCAAAGGCGGCGGGAGGTGGATGGGATTTCACTGGCATCTAAGGACT